TTCTTCTGGTGTGTCAGCAAGTGCTGCATCACTGAGCGCCACAACTTTGGTGTGCAGAGAAATGTTTAGACATTGGCTCCGCAGGGGGAAAGAGGCTAAGAAAGATCTGATAGATATGAAAGCCTGGACTTAAACCTGAGCCTCCCCTGTGGTCATCTCCCACGCTGTAACACAATGTTGCTAAGCTACCAAGGTTTTCTTCTAATTGTCCCGGTTGAGAAATTGGAGACAAAATCCTCTGCTTTTGTTTTTGGACAGCAGCAAGCATGACACAATCATTGTGACCATTAAGAAGACACTGAGACAGGGGTAGAAGTGCTCAGCTATCAAAATAATGTACAGGAGAAATGGTTTGTGGATACTGTGGGTATAAATGCCCTAAACTCATGGATAATCAACCAAAACAGAGGGTTTATGTCTTCCAAAATTAGTGTTGCACTTGGTTTAAAATCCCTTGGCCCTGAATTTTGATTGTTGCCTGTCATTTTTCACACAACAATGTTGAAACTCAATACCACACGTCAGAGTGATTTATAAAATAAAAGGTTAACTTCAAAAATCACTGCTGTTTCTATTTTGGGGCAAATTTGTCCAAACAGTTGGATTTCCAATTCTTGAGGGAGAAAAAAAAAAAAAAAGGGAGGATTGAAATATTTTCACATTTCCTCACTTGTCTTGCTTGGTATATGATGGCTCATTTCTTACCTTGTAGTGGGATACAAAGAATTGGTAACTGTTGTAGGTCTGAGATATTATTTTTTTATGTGTACATATAAATAGATAAATGATAGTTAGATGACAGGTAGATAAATAGAAAATTCCTATATAAAGCTGCTATATAAAGAAGTCTGCTAGACATCTGAGAAGTTAAAACACATATTAAGCAATTTAAACAATAGTAAATAGAAGCTTCTAATGATCTGGTTGTATTTCTGAATCATATAAAGTTACCATTGTTTTCCTGGGGGTCTTGCAAGTTCCTTTTTTTTTTTTTTTATCTTTCACATTGACTAACAAATCACAAAATAATTCTGCATAACTTTAATTCATACCTTGAACCTAGAAAGACTTATATACATATTTAACTCAATATGCTATTTATATAGAAATAACAGGCTCCTGGCCTTCATTATAAAACATCTGCCTGTCTCATGCAGTCAAGGTTATGTGCAGACTGTTAGGCACAAATAGGAAACTCATCTCAGGTCCGCTAGAGGAACCAAACCAACATTATGAATGCCATCATATTTTTTAAGTGAAAAGAACAAAGAGGAGGAAATTTCCTTTTTGAGATTATCCACTTACATTGTATGAACTCCTTGACACAGAGCAGAGTCAGAGGGAGGAGATGTTTTTAAAAGAGGAAAAAATTTTCTAGATCTAGAAGACAAAACCATAGGTAAAGAAAACCTTTGATGTCAACCCTGATTCACAATGATTTATGCACACATGTCCTACAAGGTGACCACTCAAAGGGACGGGTCTTTTTCTGCTTATGAAATTTATCCTGACAGAGTTTGATGTCTACGGCAACCAGGTGTGGGTTTTTTTCTTTCAGGCCTAAAAATAACTTTGGGTCAATCAAAAACTTCCTTTATTAGGACTGAGGTTTTTTAATTATTATTTATTTAAACCCTGCCATGTTTTCGGAGTGAGCATTAAATAGGTAATTATTTCTATTGCTTCCTAAATTGAACTCAGTTTGAAATTATTTACATGGGGTTGTTTTAAACACATTTGTGTATGTATATATATATACCCTCCAGAAGAAAAGTAATACAAGAAAATAAGAGCAAAGGCTCACAAAACACTTTGTATCCCAAACGTATTGAATGTAAACAAAATACTTTTTTCTAGGAAAGAAAATCAAAAGTGATTTTTTTTTTTAGTCTTTGGTTCCAAAATTTGGTTTTCTACATTAATTCAATCAAGCCAATTATTTCATAGCCATGTGTCAGATTATTCCAAGGAGGAAGATGATGGTCAGTGGAGCTCTTCAACGCAGAGTTCACCTGCCAAAACTTTTCAAAACCAGAATTCTTCACAGGAAATGTCACTGGCAGCTCTGCCAAGAAATGTTGAAACGGTTTCTTTTTTGTTTCATTTGGATACAAAATGACAAAATATAGCTCCAGTTGGGTGATTTAATTCAAACAAACAAGCCTCCCTTCCATGTCAAAGCGCTGATTGGAAACGACAATTCTTGTTTGGTTTCAATCAGAAAAGTCAACATTTTCAGTGGGACATTTCCTACTTGAAAGTTTTTGAGTTGCGTATTTGCTCGGGATGGAGGTGGGGGTGCTCTGCTGGCCATCATTTGGAGGGCTTTTTGTGTATTTTACTGGTTTGTTTTATCCTACTGATGGAGAGAAGTGTGAGGAAAGGACCATAAGAGAAGGACAGGCACAGCCTGTTGCCTCTAAGCTCACCTGTTTGGGATCAGCAGGTTATCGTGGCAGATGTCAGTTATGTGGGGAGATCCAGAGGGAGGTGATGGCTTGGTGTAGTTTTTATCTTGTCCTGAAAAGTGTAGGAAAACACTCTGAGGCTGAGGGCGCATTCTCACTCATGTAACTGAGTCTGCTGAGGGTTTGTGAGGGCTATGCTGGTGTCTCATGAGGCCCACAAAGCTCTCCTACCCATCTGGTGTTAGACTGGGACCTGTGTTGTAGATCCATTGCTACACATCCTTTCTCCTAAGGAGACAAGCCGAGAGAGCTGGGGCTGTTCAGAATGGAGAGGAGAAGACTCCAGGGAGACCTTAGAGCCCCTTACAGTACCTACAGAGGCTACAGGAGAGCCAGAGAGGGACTTTTAAAAGGGTCTCGAGTGACAGGACAAGGGGGAAAGATTTCAAGCTGAAAAATGGAAAGTTTAGATTAGATGTTGGGAAGAAATTCCTCCCTGAGAGGGTGGTGAGGCCTTGGCACAGGTTGCCCAGAGAAGCTGTTGCTGCCCCATCCCTGGAAGTGTTCAAGACCAGGTTGGATGGGGTTTAGAGCAATCTGGGATAGTGGAAGGTGTTCCTGCCCAGGGCAGGTCCCTTCCAACCTATGATTCTATGATTCTATGACATAAGGAATAACAGCACATGAAAAAACCTCCACGGCAGATGAGGGTCAACCCAGTTAGTCAACCCTTGGACCAGTTGAATTGAGGTCACTCAGGATGATAGCCAGAAGTTACTATTTTTCCCAGAGCACAGGGGAGAAACTTGATGTACCTTGGGCCTTCTGCAATACTCTGGGAGAGGGAAACCTGTGGCACCATCTCTGCAAGGGATCAGACATGCAGAGAAACTCCCCTGCAATGTTACCTTCATCTGTAAGTACACTTCCACAGCTCCATACCACAAGCCTTCCCTTTTCTAGGAGTTCCTCAACATCATCTCTGTGATTACTCAGTCAAGCCAACAATTTACTCTTGTGAGTAAAGGTTTGCCCAACTGGCAACCCCAAATGACAGCGTCATCCAGACTGCTGGCAGAGCAATGATGGGAAATGAAAAGCCCAGCAACTTGGATTTTGCACAGTTCCACTGACCTGGAGCTGAGTTTGTGCTGTAGTTTGGGCACTGTTACTACTCTATACTGAAAGCTGTGGGGGTGGTGACTTTACTCCTTAAATTAGGTGTGGAAAGTCCTTGCTTGTCTCCCCCAGCCCCAGAGAGTGAATTCTCACTGTGGTCTGAACAGCAGCCACTGGACCCCAAAAATCTCCCGCATAGGTCATGAGCTCACGGTGAAAAGCATATGGCGGGGTGGGGGGCGGATGGGATGGCGTGGGAGAGACTGAGCTTGGAGTGGGATAAGTGGGATAAATACCACTGCCCTGAATCTCACCTCCTCTGCCTTTTCTCCCCTGCCCCCATCAGTGCTGCTGTTGTGTCAGGTAGTGGCACTGTTGAGTACATTAATCCAGAGCTGAGCATTGCAGCCACACCGAGC